ACATTTTTGAATTTTTAGGCCTTGTTTTTCCGAAAAATAGTGTGGAGCCAGCACTATGTATTTTCCCACCTTGTCTCACTCTAAGTAAATCTGATTTCGGGCGGCTAAAAAAAAACCGCCCGCAAAAACCACGCAAAAATATAGTGCGTTGAAGAGAGGACTTCGATGTAATCGACAAGATTTTGGTACAACTTTGCTGGAGAGCAAGTGAAATCAGTTTTCATATTTCCCGTGTGACTCATTTATATTTCTAGACCTGCTTTACGCGTTTTTTATTTGTCCTATTTGGAGCCTCAAAATCCTGCATTTTTCGCACAAAAAATTAAAACTGACAACACGCGTAGCTGGATAATATGTAGGTGACAGTGCACTTTAAATTGCCCTCGCTTTTTCCTCCTTTATGATGCTCTACGAGATGTAATGAAGAGAAAATGAGGGGGGCGTGAATATGTGGCAGGTAATCTGATCCTTTCTGGCTTGGTGGAGCCTTCCCGCTCTAGGAAAAACAACGTATGAATATTAGGTTGTCAGATCACTTTCGACCAAATGCATCTTTTCGAACAAATATACATCATTTTAATTTTTAGGAGTGCGGGATCACGTTGCGGGGAAAAAACTTCAAAGATTGTGATGAGAAATATTCACGACTTTCTTCAAGAGTAAAATACTTTATGACGAAGTTTGGCAAACTCCGAATGCTCTTACTTCGTTTATACTCAGAACGGCAGAGTTTTTACATCAAGAAACTACACTTCAAGAGTACGTGATAGTAAATTCCTCGGGTTAATCCCTCTGCCGAACATGACAGCTCCGTTTTCACACCTTCATCGGTCTAATGGACAGCTTTAAGGAAAAAATATCAAACTAGTTAAGAAACCAACAGCACATGGGCTGCTTACACTAAAAGTTAGTTGATCTTTATCTATAATCTCGCAAGCACTAAAGAATTATGCGACACACTTATTCTGCAGCGACTATTGAAACAAACTTTTAAATCATCTTAAATTTTAAAATGAAAATTCTTGAAAAACTGTCAAAATGTTTGTTTTAGGAGAGCCTGTTTGGATATTTTTTACGTAGGTTTACAAAAGAGAGAAGGGGAGAGAAAGGGAGAGGGAGGGGGGAGAGAGAGATAACACAAGCTTAACTTCATTATTTGAAGGGCAAATGTAATGTGTGAGCGGCCCGCATGACAAAGTCAGAGCGCCTTGAATATTTCGGTATGCAACCCGGTCATCCTTCAAGCAAAAATAATTGCATCCAGGCGTTGTCATGTAACTGCTACTAGAGCATCTATGTAGGGAGAGTACTGACATGTTGAGATATGGAGCGCTTAGGACCTAAAAGGGCAGGCAACCCTCCAACACAAAAAACACCTCTCCCTACCTTCAGATTCCAATATCAAACCAAGATGACCAAGAATATGTTCACAAATGAGCAGTCTCCTGCAAAAATGAGTAAATTTACTCTGAAACTGAGTCAAATACGTGCTTTACAAACGACGGGTCATATGAATTGTAAAAAAAAGTAATAAGTCACGTTGGATAATTTGAATTTATAGGTTGGCTGCGCTTTTGGGCCCTGGGAGCTCCATGACCTAACCTCTGAATTGCCGACATGTCTATTGTTCGCACTCTCCGTGTGTACGTACAAGAAAAAAACGTCAAGAGACGTGGCCAAAACTGTATGAAATAATGTGGTAAAATAGCGATGGATCCACACTATTTTGCGAAGAAACCAAAGACAATAGTTCACAAATTTCACTTAAGGTAAACAATGTTGAGCTGTTATGAACACCAGTTGACAAAACCACAAAGATGATACGCTGAAAATAAAGCAATCCTATTGGTGGAAAAGGGTGGTTGAAATGGGCAGTGGAGGTAAGTAAATAGACTAACAGCAGCCTACGAGAAACCCTATAGTTACTCCATCATTTTCCCCCTTAGCCTAAAGGAACCACTCACTTCAACCCGTAGGATTGCTCCTTACTCCCTGTGCCTTCCATGTCTATCGCTTCCCTGGTAAAAATGGCAAGTGCTCAGATCAGTAGCACTTGCCTTTGGAACAGACCTAAACACTGATGTAAGTGCTGCCGGGCGCTGATCTGCTACGTCAGTGTTAGGTCTGTTCCAAAGGCAAGTGCCTCTGATGTAAGTGGCACTGACCTAAGTGTCTCCGACGTAAGCGGTGTGGAAACTCCCAGAAATACTGTAGAGGCAAAAATTTAGATAATTACCGATCCGCCAGGTACGTTAATTCACTATTTGACGACCAGGGAGGGCTACTGTGAGTTTTCCATCACAAGTAATCATCACAATCTTCAGTGGACAACGCTCGTTCCCATGCGGTCTCCAATCTAAGTACAAACTACGCCCGACGTAGCTTATCTTCGGTGATCGACCTAGCGACTGAACCACTACACTACCTGCGCGTGTAAGTGCTAGGGGCGTAATTATGTCATTTCAGGGCCCCCATTGGAGTAATTTTGACAGCAAATGATGATTTTGTCTTTGAATTTGAATCCGATACTTAATTTTTTTATTATTCTTTTTCAATCAATCAACATGAAAATGAAGTTTTATATGTTATGTTTTTTTTTAAAAAAAAAAAAAATGGAATGCATTAAAATTCAAAATTATAGCTGAGGATGTAAAAAAAATAATCAAAGTTGAAATGATACAAAAAATATAAATTAGCAGATACAAAAATTGAAAGTACTTAAAGGAGTAAAAAAGTTGGAAAATAATTAAAAATAAATTGGGAAAATTTTAAAAAAATTAAGACTGGAACATTTTAAAAAGAGTTAAAACTGAAAAAAATTTAAACCAAATTTAATTTTTTTTTTACTCTTAAGTTAAAAAAATAATAATGCTTAAATAACTACATCTAAATACATATTATAGCGGTGATAATATTTTTACCGATCTCATTTTTTTGTGTTTTAATTATTTAAGTGCCATCATAAACGAAGAAGGTTAAACAAATTTTTCAAGAGTGTGGCTACCTAAACAAGTTTTCCTTCCCTCTTAGAAAATCCCCCTCATAAAAAATATGCCTCTCCGTAAGATAAAGTTTGTGGTCCCCGTATCCCAAGGAATATTCCCCCACGAAAATAAAATAGGGTGGGGGAAGAGGGAGCCATCTCTACTTTTTGGGAGTGAGTGTGGTTCGATTAAGACTAATATCAGAGACTTACCCTCTGAACCAAGTCCTGACCTCAGTCCCGCTTACCTCAAAGATATCTTTGCACTTAGGTAAGTCTTCCTCCCGACGTCAGTGCCTCTTACCTCAGTGCTTACTTCTTGGGTCAGTGCTTTAACACTTACGTCAGAGAAAACTGAACTGACCTCAGAGCAAATTGCACTGACCTCAGTGGAAAATTCACTGACCTAACACTTGCCATTTTTACCAGGGTTTGTTTATTAATTTCATATCAGCCCGCAGACCATTTGGATTACATTTTGCAATGAGGAACCACTATGGCTTATTTTAGAAACAACATACATGTCATTGGTTTCTCTATACAGATATAAGCTTTTATACGGAGAAAAAAAACTTCGAGTGGTCATGTGGATCTCTGAAGTTTTCTGATCCCGCATCCGAAAACTTAAGGTCGAGCTGCCGAAGTTCGGGTCAGACATCGAAGCACTTCTTTATGCACCGGAGCACTTCAGATGTGTGACCCGAACCTTTCGGTAAATATCGAAGTACTTCAGATGTCTGACCCGAACTTTGGCAGCCCGACCTCAAGTTTTTAGATACGTGATCCGAAAACTTCAGAGATCCCTATGACCTCAACTTAAGGTCCCACGCACGAAGTTTTTTTCTCCGTGTATGAGAGCCAGAGATAGTGGTTTCTTATTGCAAAAGGTAATCCATTTGAATCAGTGAGAACGAAAACACACCAACTTGGTAACTCTAAAATCCTTTATTTTCACTAAGGACAGTCAATTTTCATAAAGGGCATTGAAATTAGCGAAATAGCGAATCTGTACCAACTTGGACCTTTAAAGTGTCCTTAAGTACTTGTCTTTCGGCACCAAAATTTTTTTCTTGGACTTACTTCTTCACCCACTGTGCAGTTTTGTGTGCTCCTCATTCTTTTCATCTTTTCGAGTTGGTGTGTTTTCGTCCTCACTGATTGATTTAAAACACTGGAAAAAAACCACATTGGATCTAGAGCCCAGACTCTTAAAAACATCGACAAGAAAAAATACTCTTGATTCAACCAGAGTTAAGCTTAATTCAAGAACCAAGCCTCTTAATTTGAGCGGATTTCCTTTTGATTCATGCTTAAATTTGATTGAATCAAGAGTCCTTTTTCTTGTCAATGTTTTCCAAAGTCTGGACTCTAGATCCAATGTGTTTTTTTTCCAGTGCAGCTATGGCTTATTTTAGAAACAACACACATGCCGTTGGTTTCCCTACAGAGATACGTGCTTTTATGGGAGAGCCAGAGATAGCACTGGTTCCTAATTGCAAAAGGTAATCCATTTGAATCAGTGAGAACGAAAACCCACCAACTCGGTAACTCTAAAATCCTCAATTTTCACTAAGGACAGTCAATTTTCATGAAGGGCATTGAAGTTAGCGAAATAGCGAATCTGTTCCAACACTTGGACCTTTAAAGTGTCCTTAAGTACTTGTCTTACATACATGCATATAAGTCGCTTTACAGCACTCCCTCGCTCTCTACGACTCCTAACCTCCACTGCTCTCTTTCAAACCACAAATCTTGGGGGATTGAGCACCTTGTACTTGTCTTTCGGCACCAAAAAATTTCTTCTTGAACTTACTTCTTCACCTTCTGTGCAGTTTTGTGTGCGCCTCGTTCTTTTCATCTTTTCGAGTTGGTGTGTTTTCGTTCTCACTGATTCATGTAAAACCCGTGCTTTTCCCGTAGAGTGGACACCCCGATTAAGATTAGGAGCTAGCATGGGGAGAAGGGGGGGGGGCGTACGT